GTCCTGCCTTTTTCTGTTCCAGCAACTTTCCTGCATCTCCCTCTTTCAATCCAGCTGTCTTCTACAGTCTTATCATCTATTATACTTTCAAGAATTCCTGATTTTCTGGTTATGCATGGTGAGTATTGTTAACAGACTTCATATTCTATGATTGTCTTTGGAATTTCACGAGTGAAAAAAAACAGACTATTTCCACATATGGGTGCATAACCAGGTCACTTGTGCTAGCATATCCACATACTTTGCTATTTGTGTGATAGCTAGTTTAATACCCACGAGTCAGTCATAACACCTGAAACTCTGATCTTGTAAAGCATGATACTTAAATGGCGTCACAGCCTTCATAATGAACGTATAAGATACATAGTCTTGCATCAGATGTTTTGCGCACACCATTTTGATGGAACATAGGATTTATGTCATCCAAAATGTCTGGGTCTGTGTTGTCGATGGATCTTTCTTGTTACTAATAATGGTATTTAAATGACAAGGTTCATGATTCAATTTGATTTTAGAAGCTTTTATGTTGTTCCACAGTTCCACTCTCTTAGTCAAGTAGATAATGATTTTTCACTGTATGTAGATTGCCACACGAGGCTCTTTAACAGTTCTAGTTCATATGAACGCTGACTTACGGATGATGTCTGATTAATGTTGAAGCGTGATGTTACTTTGTGGAATATAATATGTAATTTTTCTGCTCATCTATAGTTATAGATTGTAGTTCGTACTTCGTAGGGTATCCATGATCCCTTAATTTTCAAGCTGCTGTATCCTTCTGCCGTAATGTATGAATCTATGATACCATTTTGCTATATATGCAACCCTACAACATAGCATAAAGATCTCAGTTATTTAATCTCCTGGCTATCAGACTATGTACCTTTTCAACCCTTCTTCCTCTTTGGCCTAAAGGAAATCTAGAAGAGATATGGCACATGCATGTCCATCACAAAGCAATGTTGTCCTGGACATGTGTTCACCTGTGTTAGACACTCATCATATGGATTTTCTAAAATATTTTTGTGTTGATGTATCCTACCCACATGAGTGCATATCTTTGTTCATGCATCTAACTTAAAACTTAATAGCAACTATTTATAAACCTAGGTAGCATCAATTGGTTAATCTCTGAATAGAATATATTAAATATATTATGTTACTTAAAAGTTTATTTCTCAATAACATGCATAACTTTTAGATTACAATATTTTAATTTCATAACTATGTTTTCTTTTCGTCTGGGTCTTTGGAAAGTTTAGAGTTGGCACCCTTTAAAATGAGGGAGATCAGCTCCCTTTTCCAAGACAATGATATTGTATTAGAAAAATTTCTGTCTCTGGAAATTTTATTGTGGGAATGGAGATTGTTTTATGACCATCACTAGTAAATTGTGTTCTTCCTTGTTGTACTCTTAGGTGGCTGCTTCCATTATTTCATGTTATAAGGCAGCTGTATTATCTTGATTTTAATTTGCACCAGTTCTGCATTCTGATCTGTTGGATTCATCTATTAAGAAATCTTTTTCCATTGAATGTCTGTTTCTTTCTCTCCGATTGTTTATTAGTAACATTCATATACATCTGTAAATTTCTACACGCACAGATTGGTGTCCATCGGGTACTGAGCATTTGATTCAAGGTTGTGAATTCACGTTCTAACCTTGTTTTCTTCACTTCTTGTAACCATTCCTCTTTTGTTTAGCACTCTTTGTCATGTTAACATATTCTTCCTTTCTTGAGTTGCTATGTTATATTTCATAACGCCATCGTTTATTTTGCATCCATTTATATTTCTACCAGGCTAGACAGAGGCGAAACAATAGTAAAGGTAAAGGTAGAGGCAAAGTTGAGAAGGCTGTAGGAAATGAGAAGGAAAAGCATAAACCACATGATAGTCTCTTTGGTGAAAGAATTTTGGAGGACTTCTCTTCAGAGCATGGACATCGGGATAAAGAAAAGAGTGAGCTGAGGGAAGAAGTTTCTGATGTTTCTGATCCTGGAGATGAAGGTGTCGAAGGAACTCAGCCTGATGTAGAAGACAGAGATACCAGCCCTCTGAACTGGGACACAAATACGTCAGGAATAAATCCTGCAGCTGAAGCTTGTAGGAACGAGATTTCAAATGGCCATGTGGAGAAGAAGAGCTTATCCTTCATGGACGACAGTTCTTCCACATGTTCAACTGATTCAGTCCCGTCGGTTGTGGTGAATGGACCATACAAGGGGTACTCATCACCCAATAACAGAAATAAGAGAACTTCATCCAACAGGTACTGGTGATGAAGGTTTCTTTCTTTGCCCCCCTTTTCTCTATTTACTATTTATGAGCAGCCTGTTTCTTATGGTTGTATATCATCACAGAGGAAAAAACCAGCAGAATAGGGACTTACAAAATAATCTCAACTCGAGATCTGATTGCTTACTGTATGTGAGTGGCAGTTGCAGTTCTACTGGACCTGGATCAGAGGATAATCTACACCCCTTGAAGGATCAGACACAAAAACCTGAACAACCCTCTATTGATAAGGTATTTTTAAAATTTCTCTCTCATATTTTAGGTGAATATGGGCTTGCCACTTGGGTCATGATAACTTCAAAAGTTAACCACATTGCATTATTTAATAATTAAGTTTTTAAATTTTTAGTAGCAGACTCACATACAAATCATTGTAGCCTATGATCTAGTTTTCATCTCTGTCATGTGAATTAATGGAAACTTGTGCCACTTGGTTTGCACTTTGCTTCCTAGTTGAAATTATTAGTGTGGTACTGACTTTTGATATATTGAAGGATATTTCATCGGTGAATATGAAAAAGAGGAGAGAAATCAATCTTACATCATGTTCATTAGCATTCAATATACATTTATTTAAAATTTAAAATTTAAAATTTAAAAATATGGCTTTAGAATCTGGACATTCATAGAGTATCTGTGTCATGATATTCTTCTGGATCCCCATCTTCTGTCCTTTTCTTCGCCAAGATAAAGCAATTTAGATTTCCTTCTGAGAAATTGTTCCTTATTTCCCTTATTTCTAAATATGATATTCTTTAAGGCTATTTTCTTCGCGTTAGATTCATATCAGATCTTCTAGTCCCAATTTTCTTTTTCAGGAAGATGAAATCAATATACCTTTTGGCTCTTCATGTTAGGAAAACTTCCAATACTACTGTACATCATTTAAATTTTCTGCATATTCTAATAGTTTAATCTGTACAATCTTTAAGGAAGAGATAGTCGAAGATCAAATTGATGATGAAATTCCCTCTGATTCCACGTCAAGGACAACAGAATCGGTGTCTTCCTGCACTAACCCCAGTCAAAAGCCATCACCAGTTAAGCTATCCACAGAGCATAGTAGTAGTACCACCAAAAATGTACAAGTTTCTCTGCCTGAGCCGACTTCAAATACCCAAATTCAATCTGAAAAATCAGTCCAATCACTAGAAAACCTGTCAATTCCAAGGGCTGAAGCTTTGAAACACACTTCTCAAGCGATGAGCAGCACCACTCGCGCCTCTTCAATGTCGAGGCCTTCAAGTACTCCTGTTGTCCAAGGCCCAAAGACAACTGTTCCCCTTGTGACTACATCACAGGCAATGCCCTCATTATCCCGGGCACTCAGCTCTCTTGGTCATTTAGACTCGGAACTATCTTTTTTGCCCCAAAGCTTTGAACCACAGTCATATCGGAATGTCATTATGGGCATTAAAACCATAACAAATCCAAGCACATCTGGGCTCACTCCTCGACCGTCTTTAAGCTCCTCGATTCAAACTACTGCCTTCTCCCAGCCCTCTTCGTCTTCATCCTCGTCATCTTTTCAAACTTCAGTCAATCCTGGTATTGCCTTGCATAACCAACATCGATGGAATGATCATATGATGCCAGACGAATTCCCTCACCTTGACATCATTAACGACTTGCTTGATGAGGACCATCGAACAGTTGGAAGGACAACACTTAACAATTACCATCAACACGATGATTTCCATTCAGTGAACCAACAATATTGCTTCACTACCGACATTGATTCTATGAATGCTTCGTTCCAATTTGGTCTATCCGATTGCTACTATGATGAGCTATCGCAAATGATCTATGATTGTGGGTTCAATGGCTTTGGCATGGATTCATTGCTCCAAAGCCAGTGGCCAATCAACAGCGGTGACCTCTCAGTACTCAACATTAATGGGTATGCCTACCCGCTATCCGAGTACTCAGCACGGGGTTTGGATGGGTATAATATGATGTATCAGCGTGCAAATGGGCTTTGATTGTGGCTGTAATGTTTATATCCATTGTTTAATGGCACCAAAAGTATTGTATCTCAAGGTGGTTATGTTGTCGTTGGGCGTCAGGGGGTGTGGAGTTGGAAGTTTGTAATTCCTTAATCTGCCACATGCTCAATATCCAGTTTTATTGTATCTGTCTCATTTTTCATGTTATTTGGAGCAAGTTTTATGTTGTATTGCTAATACGCATTTTTCTGGGACTTCAGTTGATACAAAGCCTCAATAGAAGCATGGTGTGTTTTCGTTGACTTTAAGTGTGAAGTTAGATTCGTTTTGTGATGATAAAATTAAGTTATCAGCTAAATTTTAGCTGGCACTTATTTAGAGGCCGTTTGGTTTTGTGAAATATTGTGTGCGCTATTGAAAGTTTTTAATGATTTGTATATGAAGTGCTGCTAAAACAAGTGAAGGCATATAAGTGTAAGTTTTAAAAACTAGTGTATATAAGTGCCACCAGAAACAAGTTAGGGGAAACCATAGGTGTATTTATGTGCAATTAAGCCTTAAAAAATATTGAGATGTAAGCAGACCTCAATTACCCTTCTGACGCTACGGGATTTTACATCTCGACTTTCCTCTCCCAGCCTCAGATCACAACTTAAGCCTAGGTTCTGCTACCACTTGTTCCAGAGTTAACTGACTCTTAAAATTTAGCTACCAAATTAATTGAAAAAATTAAGCCTCAATTACCCTTCTGACGCTACGGGATTTTAACTTTCTCTTTCGGTTTCATTGTACTTTCTTGTAGTGTACAACCGCGTCGATTATAAATTGGTGGATATCCCGCAGCAGCGTCCCGTCTGCGTCCAGCAGCACTCTGCTGGTTATAGTAAACTGTTGTATAAAATATACAGTCTTTATTATAGCGCATCAGATTTTGGCGCCATTGAATGGTAAAAACCCCAGTCTTTAAGCTTTAAAAAAAACATCGCATCAAACAAGTTACAAACGGTTACAAACGGTTACAATCGACTAAAAGTACGCCTATTCAAACTCATTGTGAAACATGCATACGCTGTAAAAGAACCGAAAGATGAGTTCATGAATGAATTTCTACAAGAAGTTCGTTATTGTTGCGATAATTGTAATTTCCATCGTGTTGGTGTTGAATATGACTACTTGTCGACGAGTTGCAGCAGCAAGAATGTTGGTCGATGACGGAGGAGGAGAGCTCAAGCCCATAAAAAGAGGTCCGGTGACTCCACCAGGTCATTCTGGGTGCACTCATGGTCATCCCAGTGGTGGTTACTGCCCTCCTAATTGAAAGAACAATTTCACCACTAGTTCTTGCTAGATCCTTGAATTAATGTTTGATATATAGATACGTATGGAAATAAGTTGACATGATTCGTTCATGTAATTTGTTTGTATTTACTATTAAGGTCCAAGTTGATTCTTTTGATAAACCTTGAAGAATAATGAATTATGATACTTTTATTTAATTTGATTCTAACTGGTTGTAATAGTTGAAAGCTTTGATCTGAAACATGGATACTAGAAAGATACACATGGAAGGAAGTTAACATGATTCGTTCCTGTAATTTGTTTGTATTTGCTATTAAGGTCGACATTGATTCTTCTGATAGACCATGAAAAATAAAGTATTATGATACTTTTGTTTAATTTGATTTTAACTGGTTATAATAGTTGAAAGCTGTTGGATTTTTTGGTCAAAGCCGCTTTCCAAAATGAGTTTTCAAACTATATATATAAATTAACTACAAGTACTTTTCATAAATGCTTAGTAGCCTAGTGAAAAGTTAAAGTTTTGGCGTTTCAAAAGGTCCTCTGTTCGAGGCTTGCCAACGGCAAGCCGAGAAGTGTTTTATTTTAATTAATCTCTCATAAGTTCTCATGGGCCGTGAGCTGTGGGCTCGTGGGCCGTGAGCCATGGGCCGGGGATCGGGGATAATCGAGCTGAGGTTGCCTCGCAGGCTGCTTCGCAGGATGTGGACGAGCTACGCATTCGCACGAGGGTGTGACCCTCGTGTTCTCACAATTAGACGGGGTTTGTCAATTGGCTGACGAGGTTCACTCATTCGACGAGTATCGCTCGTCCGATAAGGTTCGCATGTTTGACGAGGTTCGCTCGTTCGACGAGGTTCACCTGTTTGATGAGGATCGTCCGTTTGACGATGTTCGTCTGATTTGCTGAGACGTGACCCTCGCGTTTCGTAGTAACGCATCCATTGATTGCCTTATATTCAGGAGTTAATGCATGCAGCAGTTATAACAACATTTATATTAATTTAATGGATTATTGTTACAATCATAATTGCCATTATGATTTGTAACAACCACATTAATTGAGGGTGACTCTTAAGCTGGCCTTAGAGGCCTATAAATAGCGCCTCTTGGACAGCTCTTTATGCGAACTTGGAAAACGAACGTTAGATCGAGGAGATCTTGACGCTGTTGTTGTTGTTGTGCTGTTACTGCAGAAACTGTGCCCGTGGGAACTGAAAGTACCCTGATACCGCTAGGAAGGAACCCTAGAGGGGGGGGGGGGAATAAGGTTTATGCTAATCTAATCCAATTTAAAAGCCAATTAAAACTTACTAACAAATATATCCTAGCAAGTATGATATGCTACAAGATATGACAATACGGTTTTCTAGCTAACCGAAAACTTTACAATCACTCACAATGTAACTACACTAACTACCACCTCAAGTGTTGGTCTCTAGCCCGTGTCTCCCTCAAGTGTTAGGAATTATAACCTCTCTCTAGGCATTATCACCTACCCCACTCCTCTTGGGACAACCCCGTCTCTCACCACACACTCCTCTTGGTGTACTAGTGTAATACAAAGTGTTCCTCACAATTAGGCTCACAATACAACAAATTTGTTCTCTACAATAGATGAGAACTCAATGTAGGCTCACTCTCTAAGTCACACAATCCCACAACCTAATTATACAATGTATGCAAATACAATAAGCTCAATGGTTGTGTGTGTACAAAGAGATAAATAAAATCAACTAAACTCAATATAAACACTAGCTTAATAAAATGATAATCAAACAATAAAATGTAAGGCTAGATTGAGTTTAGAAAACTTCTCCAATAAATGACAAGAGTGAGAGAGAGATGATTTGAAGCAAACACCAAAGGATGATCTCTTCTTCCTCTTGTGAAATTATCTTCACAAAACCGAAACTTTGAAACAAGGCTTTAAACACCTTTAAACAAACTTAAACCCTTGATTAAAACTTGTTAAACCTTTTTTCTTGTTAGGTGGGAGAGGTAAATGCAATGGGGTATTTATAACAACCCAAGACATCAACCAAAACCCTAAGGAAATGACCAAAACCCCCCACAAAAATAGATCTGGAAAATAGCCGTTACTGTTCAACGGTCATATTTATAAGTCGACTTGCATTCGAATTGGTATAAGTCGACTTGCATTCGACTTACATAAGTCGACTTGAAAGTTCACATAAGTCGACTTCCCAGATGAAAATAACACACAAAATTCTGCCTATAAGTCGACTTGCATTCGACTTATTATAAGTCGACTTGTGTTCATGAATAAGTCGACTCAGCAGAGAAAAAAATGCACTTTCCAGAGGAGTTCATAAGTTGACTTGTCAGGGTTTATAAGTCGACTTATAAACGTGCACAGACATTGTTCATGCTGGAAAATTGATTTTAAAAGTGCCTTTAAAAATAATAAATAAATTCCAAAAATTATAAAACTTTGGGAAATCATTGTAAACTTGTAAATGAACATGTTACAAAAAGAATTTTTGGAATTGCACTTCCCAAAAGTGAAAACTCATTATTTTTCAAATATGTCCAAAAACATGAAAAGTAAACATACATGTTTTTTGACATTTGACATAAACAAACTTTTGGAAACTTTTGTGTAGCTTTATAGACTTAGGAAAAGATATAAAAACATATTATCAAGTCCATAAACCAAGAACACAATATATTTTCAAATATGATAGAATATGAAACATATGAACATATATATGAATATATATTTGTTTCATATCTAAAAAATCAAACCAAAACACATATGTCGTGTATGTGTGTATATGATTGAGCTTAAAGTACTAACACACATAATATAAAACCTAAACTAAATTACCCAAGCTTGATGATCTTCAACGAAGCTCTATCTTGGTACACTTGTGGATGAATGCAATGCTTCAACCACTACTCCGTCAACCTCCATTGGATATGACCGTGAATGCGCAATTCCATCCATCATCCAACTCATTGTTTGTCTAGAATACCTAATAAGAAACATAAACACTAGACAAACAATATAAGGAATTTTTTGTAATCATCAAAACAAGATTAGAAGATATAGGCTCATAACATGAGACCTAACAATCTCCCTCTTTTTGATGATGACAAACAATCTACACAAAGAGTATATAAGTTATACAATAAAGCATAATACTCTTAAAATATACTCACAAACCACTTGTTTTTCCCCCTTTGGCAACATCAAAAATAGGGAAACAAAATAGTAAGAGAGCGAAAGCTCCCCCTATCATAAAGCATAGGTGAGTATAACACATAGTATAGGGATTGCTCCCCCTATCAAATTACCATATGGAAAATATGCAATTATGAACATGACAAACAAATGTGAGCAATATATGAAAAGAATGCTAAGGCAAAAACATGTGAGTAGGCATAAATGAAAGATATGCTAAACATAACTCACATACAAACAAGATAATGAGAACACATAATGATATGTCATGATAAATAGGTGTCTCAAAATACAAGAAATATAAAAACCATATAAATGAATAGATTTATGAAATCAAAAGAAGAGGAACATGAGAATCATGCAAAAAGTTTTCAAATGAAAACAAATCAACCAAAAGAAATCATAAATCAAAGTTTAAATCCAAAAAAAACGTAAAATCAAATCATCATTGATTTAAAAATCAAGAGAGGCAACTATATCTAGCTCTTGAGCTAGTATCAACCCATATAAACATTTTAGCATCCGGTAAATATGATTTGGGAATAAACACCCAATAACCCCGGGGGGGGGGGTTATATAAACACAAACCTCTCATCAAAATCAAGACTAATAATTATGAAAACAAAAGATTTGATAAAAGAAAAAAAATTGTTTTCATAACAAAAAGATTTTAAAACATAATTTTCAAAACCAAGAAAAAAAGAAAGTAAAAGTTCAAAAATTCTTTGTTTAAAAATCATTTTGGCACCCAAGAATTCTTGGTGCCGGATTGGTTAGGGACATGACCCCTATCATTCAATC